TTAGATAAAGACTAATAATTGTGAAAATTAGTTACGCAACATGATAATGAAAAATTTCAAAATCGAAATAGCATGCAATCAGAATGCAATCATTTGAATGTAAAAGATCGACAGAATATAAAAGAGAGGAGGGTTGAAAACTCTGAAAAACCATAGATTACGATCATGGTGAGAAAAAAAGAGTTTGAATTAGTTTTTTTTGCTTATAAAATCTTGGATACAGTGGACAGCTAGGATGCAGTTGGACGATCCGGACTTTACAGATGATCTAGCACTTCTATCGCACACGCAATAACAAATGCAAGAGAAGAGAACCAATAGAGCAGAAACCTAGGCAGCAGTAGGTCTCAACATACACAAATGCAATAGTAAGATTCTTCAATACAAAACAATATACATTAATCAGGTTGCACTTGAAGGAGAACTTTTGGAAGATGTAAAAACCTTTACATATCTGGGCAGCATCATTAAGGAACACGGTGGATCTGATACAGATGTGAAGGCGTGGATCGGTAAAGCAAGAGCACCATATCTACAACTGAAGAACACCTGAAACTCAAAACAACTGTCTGTCAACCAACAGCAAGGTTAGAATTTTCAATACAAATGTCAAGACAGTTCTAGTGTATGGGGTGGAAGCTTGGAGAACTACGAAAGCCATCACCCACAAGATAAAAGTGTTTATTAACAGTTATTTATGCAAAACACTTTGGATCCGTTGATCAGACATTATCAGCAACAACCTACTGTGGGAGAGAACCCAGGGCATTCCATCTCTCGCGAACACTTAACCTCCAGACTTCTGAGCTGCGATCCAATGGTGTTAACATTTAACTTCCACCAGTAGGATTGTGGATGCGCATTGTTGAGAAGTCCCATACTAGGACGAAACGGATGTCCGTTGCTTTCAGCATTTCAGTCGCGATCTAACATTGATCACTTCATAATTTCAATACATTTCAACAATCTTCACAATCCTTCACTGACTATTAAGATTATGTTTAAAAAATGAATGCTGACAAAATGGCTACTTAGTTTCATGACTTAGTAGTTAGCTTTATTACTAATAACCGTTTGTAAGCAGACAAATTCATCCAGTGTAACTGAAGTTGGTCGCTTTAATATCTAGGTTTAATCCAATAAATACTATGTTTTATTACGGGAAGTGATTATTTAGATTATCATGTTTTGTTGTTAATTTTTCGAACTGATCAGTAGGACGTTCAATGCCAATCTCGTTTCTGTTTCAGTTTCCTCAGTAAAGAGTATTCTTTCAAAATCTCAGCAACCGAGAGGCGTCAACCATATCCAAATTTCTAAGAGCGCTTTGTTTCATTTTACCCATAATCAAACCCCTTCACTAAAAGAGAATAATTATATTTATTCATAAGGACTAATGTTATCCTATTGCTGATGTTCAAACTGAATTTCATATCCCTCTTTCGACATTTGCACATTCTGATGGGATAAGTTGATAACGCATAGGCGTTATGAATAAAAACAAGCATCACATCCAATAAAATGACCTTGTGGACTCAGTAAACTAATTGGTAAAAAGTTTGAGTTTGAAGTGACGGGTACCTGGTCTGAGTCTCCCTGGGAACATCAACACTGAGATCCAGTTACGTACATACGACGATTCTTAAATAGGACAAAATGCGTGAACTATGTTCCACTCCAAACCAAAATACAACAATAGTAACATTTGTTTTTATGTATTCACGCTAACTTTGGTGCTGAAATGTATTTTCGATGTATTCAACATCACCTAACCTTCTATCTTCTGACCGTAACTTTTAATTTATAAAACAAGAAGGCAGATTACTGTTATTCCCTCGAAAGATATACAAGTAACCTTAGACAAGAACACCTCCCAGGATATATATATCCATGATATTACGCGACCATCTTCCATTGTCTTCAGTGGGTAACTGGATCACACACAACATGGTCCAACTTCACTGGTCACAGCTTCTCATTAGAACTCCGAGAATTTCCTCTCACAGCTAGTCATCAATGAACACATGATAATCTTCAGTTTGTGGTTGTGGAGATTGTTGAGTTTTTAGTGGTATAATAAGTTTATCAGTGTTAGACGATGATTGGTTCATGGTCCAGTGGTATGTAGGTTAAGCGTTCGCGAGATTGAAGCTCCTGGGTTCGAGTCTCACTCGAGGGATCGTGGATGGGCGGTGATGAGGAGTCCCATACTAGAACTAAACGGCCGTCCAGTGCTTCCAGGCTTGTAATTTATAACTGCGTTTAGCTAAATTTTTCTATGTACTAACTTGCATAATTCAGTGATACCTAAGCTTGAGCTTTGTCAGATATACTGAAACCTCGAGGGTAAGTGTTTAAACTAAGCTTACTTTGGTTAGATGTTAGATGGTTGTTGGCGATTCACAGGTTTCTATGTGTCTAAAATTTACTTTATTTTTCTCCACAGCCTCCAGAAGGTCTTACGTGGTACCGCAGTTGGAAACAGTATCAATGATCTATTTCATTAGCAGGTTTAAGGTCATCAACTCAAAGAATACCGATAATTTTCCCAGATGAGTGGGAAACTCTACGAATCCTTCAGTCAGAATTTCATAGCGATTTTCCCAGAACATTTTGTTTTTAACAGTGTATACCAAATAATTAACATTATCTGTTAATAGTTAGTTGTATGGGTAATTCATGTCATCTGCTCGCTGAATACAAATACTCTGGTGGAAAGTTATTGTGAAATGAAAAAAAAACCTCAGTAAATTCAGTAAATGTTGAAAATTGTTTATGGAGATATTATATTCAAGAATACACCGCTTTCCAAGTTAACCAAGCGTTTTTGTATGCACTATGAAGACTGTATGTTTCAGGTCTAGGAAACATCAAACAAACACTCTATTATACTTCCTGGTTAGTGAGTTATTGTCTGGATGATTACTGATCGACTTAAACCCTATGTCCATATGATCCTAGCAAAATATCTGAAGTTTAGGAACAACAAGGAAGAGCTTAACATCTGGGTTAATACAGGAATGTTGTGAACATTGAAAACGAAGTTAAGATAAGTGTATTGCTACAAATAAAGAATTGTTTAAGTTAATAAATTAACTCGTGAGTCAAATAAAGCTAGACCATCATGGAATGCCTGGAAGTATTGGACGGTCGTTTCATCATATTCTGGAACTCCTCAGCAATGAGCATCCACCATCCCGCCTCAGGAGATCCGAACCCAAGATTTATAAGTCTCGCACACCAACGCTTCACCTATAAACCACTGAGGCGGCCGGCATCCGACGGTGTTAATGTCTAACTTCAAGTAATCCACGAAATTGAGCGATACATCCACCATTGTTATCAGTGAGATAATATGTCACAACAAACCCAATTGAACTCTATTGGTCACTGCTTCTCATTAGAACTCCAAGAAATAACCGTTGAAGACAGTCACTAGTTAGTAGGAGATTGATCTGTCCTACATTTTGTGAAAATTATTTCTTATGACCTCAATTAGACAGAGCAATACACCTAGGAAAATTCATCGAAGTTCTTGAATTACATGATTCTTTTGAACTCAATCAATTCCTTTGATAATCTCTCCCCTCCAGAAGTATTAAAAAACTCTAGCGGATATTTTCATTGAAGTGTCAAACAATTGTAACTTAATTCAACGAGCTGGTTTTTTTTTACGAAATAACACAATATTCTTTCAAGTTATTGTTCACAAGTGAAAGCCAACTATTCGTTTCTTTGAACTGTGACCAGTAATGGAATTGGTGATAAACGTGCATTCCAGTTCTATTGTTCATACAAAGACTTCAACCTGATGCCTGTAGCTCCAATCATTTTCTAACATAATACAAATCTTAACTCGTGTTACCGACGATCTACTTTCTTAATCTCAAATTGATATATATATATATATATATATATATATATATATATATATATATATATATATATATATATATATATATATATATACTGGTTTAAATCATGAGTCAATTGAAGCTAGACCATCATGGGAAACCTGGAAGCACTGGACGGCTGTTTCGTCCTGATATGGGACTCCTCAGCAGTGCGCATCCACTATCCCGCACCCCGCGAGATTCGAACCCAGGGCCTATCAGTCTCGTGCCAGGCGCTTAACCAACTAGAACACTGAGCCGGCCTGCATCCAACGGTGTCAATGTCTAACTTCAACTAATCCACGAAATAGAGCGATACATCCACCATTGTCATCAGTGAGTTACTATGTAACAGCAAACTTGGTTGAACTCCACTGGTAACGACTTTTCACTAGAACTCCAGGAGTATCTCCTGAAGTTAGTCAACTGACTCATGATTTCAACCAGTGAAAGTTCTAAAAATCTCCACAAAACCCATTCTGATTATATATATATATAATTAGTGTAACTACATAATGTTCAACTATTCATATTGACTTCTTTAGTTAAATGTTTTTTGTATATAATCATCGGTATACACTGAATAGAACAGAAATATACTCACTTCATTATAAATATTCGTGATTCTATCGTACATTGTAATTATATTATTCAACCAAAACACAAACTTATCATTATGTAATCATATACACTATTCAACGAATGACCTAATTGACCTTTCTAATATCTTATCTATTCAATAAGGTCAACAAATCTATCTATCTATCTATCAACTAGTGTTACATTCATCATGACAATAGAAATAATGAGCTACATGAAACAGTAATTTTATGATCAAAACATGTTCGTCTAAAATGATTCGATTTTATTTGATTGTACGCACGTACATGGGTACGTAAAATTACTCACAATTGACCATGTTTGTGTGTTTATGCATGTCTTTGTGTGTGTGTGTGAGTGAGTGAGTGTATGTATGTATGTGCGTTTGTGTATATAGGAATACATTTCGTCAACTGAATGTATATATGTAATACAACCATGTAATTAATGAAGATAATTATTACATAATACTTTTTATAATGAAATTTGATTCGTTAAAAAAAAGAAAAAAAAAAGAAATTCATTTAATAAATGTCAATAAAAGTAACCTCATTTGAAGATAGTGAAGTAATTTATTTATTTATTTCTTATACCAGTAACTGATCCCTTTGATTGTTTTTTTTATACCTATCAACATCATCATCAGCATCATCATCGTCATCATCATCATCAGCAGCAGCATCATTATTATCATAGTATAATACATTTTAACAATATTACTTTGAGTTTACATAGTACATGTTCTAAGTCAATTCCAAGGTAAGTTTCAACAATCTTCTTTAGTCTTTTTTTATTATTAACATTTGATTCATATCAGAGAAGGGTTTTTGTGTATATTATAGAAATTTTAATAATTGAGATTGAGTAATTTGATGCTAAAGCATCATGGAATGCCTGGAAACATTGGACGGTCAATTCGTCCTATTGTGGAATTCCTCAGAGAGATTCGAACTCAGTACATATTAGTCTCGCACGTAAGCGATTAACCACTAGACTACTGAGCCGGCCAGCATCCAACAGTGTTAATGTCTAACTTCAACTAATCCACGAAATTGAGCGATACATCCACCATTGTCATCAGTGAGATGATATCTCACAACAAACTTGGTTGAACTCGATTGGTCACTGCTTCTCACTAGAACTCCAGGAAATACATTTTGAAGTCAGTCACTAGTGAGCATATATTGATTAGTATCGGACGGGGTGTCCTGGATATTATAGTAATTTTAATAGTTGAGATCATGAATCAATTGAAGCTAGTCCATCATGGAAAGCGCGGAAGTACTGGACGACCGTTTTCCGTTTTATTGTGGGACATAGGAACATAGGAACACAACTGAACGCAAAAGGCTGTCCAGTACTTCCAGGCATTCCATGGTGGTCTAGCTTCAAATGACTCATGATCTAAACTATTGAAATTATTAACATTTGTAATATTGATACATTTGAAGAATATTTGTTTTCTATCTGATAGACAACTTAGTTCATATCTAGTGATGCTCAAATTGTGTCTTTCTATCACAAAGAAACTGGCTGAATTTAGAATTGTACCATTAAACAGCAACTTAGAGTTTCTAATGATTAAGCGTTCACCTCGAGACCTTAATGTTCTAAGTGAGATCTTATACTAGGACGAAACAATTGTTTATTTCTTTCTAGTTTTTAATATCATCTCAGCTTTAGATCAGTTTGTGATGAATACAACCTACAAATAATGCAATAAGCTTTTTTGATAAACTCTGTCATAATATTATTTATTTTGACTAAAAACCTTTCGTGGATAAACAGACTCAGTCAGCTACAACGTAGAACCAAGCACATATGTGCATCGGTCAAAGTTGCCATACCTCATTAACAAAACAAGATGGACACCGGATTCATTAAAGTAGTTAATTCAATGGTGGTAATATATAAAAGGAAGATTACATGAAATGATATAATACAGAAAGAAAGATATGAATCGATTTTAATCTCATAGTGTAAGGGAAGACAGAGTATATACACCCATGCCATTGTGATCGATTGTGAGCCATGTCACCCACAATCTCCAACCATTCATTACGATAGTCGCACGGACCCCAACCAGGTAATCTGCATCTACCAACATGACTAAGATTAGGAGTCAGTGACTTCAAGCACTGATGCCACGTTTTGGTTTGGCCGCCCCTAACTTTCTTCCAACCATCTCCAACACCGGTTAGCATTGCACGTCGTGGTAATCGGTGTTCAGGCATAGGTAACATGTGGCCCAACCTCTTGAGTCGATGTAGATTCACAAATTCATCAACTGATTCACCATCATTTCCTCCTAAAACCTTGCGTCTAATCTTACTGTTACTTACCCGGCGATCCCAGCAGATGCGGATAAACAGACTAACGGAATATATTAATTATGTGAAACTATGTTCATTATGTTAAAGTGTAATAGTTTAGTGTAAGAAGAATAACTGTCAGAAACATATCACTAGTATGATTTTTAGGCAAATGAGAGAAAGAAGAGAATTGACCAAAATCTCTGAAACTTGATTTTGTACCCATTGCCATTCATCAGTAAAACATATTTATAATCTTGAAGTAAATGATTTGTCTACTTCTGATTGTGAATCCAAAAACAACCTCTGTCATAATATATGGAAGCTTATCATTAAGCTATTTGAGATATGACTAAGAATAAACAGTTACTCAGTTGCAACTAGTATCATTTTGTCGAATGATTATGGCTCAATAAATTTGCTGTATTACTGTTTCAATCTATTCCACGCTTGTATCATTAACCGACTTGAAATCATTTCTAAATTGTTCCACAATTGAAAGAAATTTTCAATGTAGAACGATTGGAGTTTATCCTCTATAGTTGACTTTCAGTTAGTTAGTCTTATGTTCAAATGTTATTCGTTTTACTTCAGTCTTGGTTACAGATTAGTAGTATAGTTAAGCTTCATAAATACTGAGTTTTAAATCTAGTACAAAAATATATAACTGTTTTATAAATAAGTATCAAAAATGAAACTTTACCTGACAAATTTACATTCAGTAGTTAACTGAACTCAAACCAGATTGTATGGATTGAACAAACCTCTCAAAATTCCTTCAATCTATTTATCTATAGAATTCAATGAAACAAACAGTTATCATAATTAACATTAGTTCCAAACCTTTCTCTAATACTATTAGAATTACTTCTAATGTAATTGTAATTCATCATGAAATCAGGTTATTTCTGACTTTCAGTACTCAATACCCAAGTTCATGTTTACTTGTTACATTTGAGTTTACGTATATGAGCGAAAATTTATGTACTCAGCTTCCAATCACCACTATTTTTTTGTCGGCTCATGATATTATACAATTACCAACAGGGAAATGCATGAACTAATATTCAAAGCATGCTACCTTCAAACTATTCAATCAATAATTTTTGGCCTCGTGTATTAGGATTAAATACAATACTACAATATTCAAACTGATTCTAGTGGTCCAATTAAACTAAATAAACAGCAATCAACCATCATCATTTATTTCTGCAATATGAATATGATCATTCAATAGAGACATCATACAGTAGTCACTTATTTAGGAGTTATGAAATTATTATTATTTATATTTATTTGAACACATGAATATTGGTACAAGAGAGCGCCAATATATATGCGCCACACAAAACAATGAAAATTCGAAGAGAAGTACAAAAAAAAACTAAGGAGCGCAAAAGAAAAAGAGAACAATAACGAAGAGATTGGTGTAAGGTAGTATAGTAGAAATGAGGGAACGAAAAGGTACAATCAGAAGAAATCTTACAGGTAAGGGAGACGCAACCACTTTTTATGAAGAAAGTAAAAGAAGGTTACAGCAGGATCGCCACTGGCTTCAATTCTGAGCCATATCTGATAACGTCTCTAGCCACTGTGTAGCACCATCTCTCAGACCCCAACCAGGGAGTCGTGAAGGACCGACAGAAGCCAGTCCTTTGCAGCTTTCTTTCATACCACGACACCATGTCATATACTGACCACCTCTCCGCTTTCTCCAACCAGTCCCAGAGTCGGCAAATAATGCACGACGTGGAATTCTCTGAGACGACATTCGGAGAACATGTCCAAGCCACCGAAGTCAGTGTTTCAAGATGGTGACACCAATTGCATTATCATCTCTGTGCCCGAACACACGATGCCGAACCTCTGCATTACTGACATGGTGTTGCCACTGAATGTCAGCAATCCTTCGGAGACAGCGATGATCGAACACAGAGAGTCGTCTAACGTACTCAACTCGGAGAGACCAGGTTTCACAAGCATAGAGCAAAACTGCTCTCACCGACGCGTTGTAGATCCGACCTTTTACAGCCAGACCAACATCACGAAGGCGCCAAAGATGGCCCAGATTGGCATAAGCCGCTCTGGCTTTCACTATACGTGCATTGATCTCATCACTCACACCTCCACCAGCACTTATGCAGCTACCTAGGTACACGAGGAGGAAGTCCGCAAGGAACTCCAACTCTTGAAGCGTTACAAATCTCCTGGCCCAGATGACTTACCTCCGGCTCTTTTTAAAGATGGTGGTGACTTTCTGACTAAGGAATTGACGGCGTTGTTTACAAAGGTTCGGCATCTAGAGAGTGTACTAACGTCATGGAATGAGTCAATAGTTGTCCCTATCTTTAAAAAGGGTTTATGTCGTTCCTGTAACAACTATCTGGAGATAAGTCTACATCCGATTGCATGCAAGCTATTGGCTTCCGTCATACTTCGTAGATTGTTCAAAACCCGAGAAAGATTGACTCACGAGGAGCAGGCTGGGTTTCGTTCTGGTAGAGGATGTATTGATCATATCTTCACCCTCCGCCAAATGTTAGAACACCGTCATACTTTTCAAAGGCCAACAATCGTAGTGTTTCTTGACATCAGGGCTGCCTTCGATTCGTTGGATAGGACTGTTCTCTGGGATTGTCTATTGAAGAAGGGTGTGTCTGAGAAGTTTATTAACATCCTAAAAGCCCTATATAAAATCACCTCAGGCAGAATGAGGGCATACAACCACCTTTCTCCATTGTTCCATTCGAGCAGTGGGGCTAGGCAGGGTTGCCCAATCTCACCATTCCTCTTCAACTTTGCCATCGATGACATTCTGGAAACAGCTCTGATGGATGTAAGTAATGGTGGTGTGGATCTGTTGCCTGGAGAAAGACTTCTCGACCTTGAGTATGCGGACGATATTGTCTTACTGTGCGATAGTGCTCAAGGCATGCAGTCCGCACTTAATCAGTTGGCAATCAGTGTCCGTAGGTATGGTATGTGCTTTGCACCTTCGAAATGCACAGTACTGCTACAAGACTGGCATGATCGTAATCCTGTACTCACCCTGGATGGTGAGCAGATAGAAGTAGTCGAGAAGTTCGTGTATCTGGGTAGCTGCATAAGTGCTGGTGGGGGTGTGAGTGATGAGATCAATGCACGTATAGTGAAAGCCAGAGCGGCTTATGCCAATCTGGGCCATCTTTGGCGCCTTCGTGATGTTGGTCTGGCTGTAAAAGGTCGGATCTACAACGCGTCGGTGAGAGCAGTTTTGCTCTATGCTTGTGAAACCTGGTCTCTCCGAGTTGAGTACGTTAGACGACTCTCTGTGTTCGATCATCGCTGTCTCCGAAGGATTGCTGACATTCAGTGGCAACACCATGTCAGTAATGCAGAGGTTCGGCATCGTGTGTTCGGGCACAGAGATGATAATGCAATTGGTGTCACCATCTTGAAACACTGACTTCGGTGGCTTGGACATGTTCTCCGAATGTCGTCTCAGAGAATTCCACGTCGTGCATTATTTGCCGACTCTGGGACTGGTTGGAGAAAGCGGAGAGGTGGTCAGTATATGACATGGTGTCGTGGTATGAAAGAAAGCTGCAAAGGACTGGCTTCTGTCGGTCCTTCACGACTCCCTGGTTGGGGTCTGAGAGATGGTGCTACACAGTGGCTAGAGACGTTATCAGATATGGCTCAGAATTGAAGCCAGTGGCGATCCTGCTGTAACCTTCTTTTACTTTCTTCATAAAAAGTGGTTGCGTCTCCCTTACCTGTAAGATTTCTTCTGATTGTACCTTTTCGTTCCCTCATTTCTACTATACTACCTTACACCAATCTCTTCGTTATTGTTCTCTTTTTCTTTTGCGCTCCTTAGTTTTTTTTTGTACTTCTCTTCGAATTTTCATTGTTTTGTGTGGCGCATATATATTGGCGCTCTCTTGTACCAATATTCATGTGTTCAAATAAATAAATAATAAATAAATCTGAGTCCAGGCTTGAGATGCAGAGGGACGTGCTAGGTGGCACATCGGCGATGACTGTGTCGAAATTTAGTGCTAGCCAGAAAGAGGTTGTGGTCTGTGCATAGTTGCAGTAGACGGTCCCTGTTATCTGACCTGCGACCAACGAGTCCCCATCGGCCACTTAAACGACTCTCTTCTGTGCCTAGACGCCCGACCTGAGCATCCAAGTCCCCGGCTAGTACTACAATATCTGTCGAACGCACTTTCTGGAGAAGAACAGATAATTGGTGGTAAAACTCATCCTTGATTCCATCCGGGCTGCAATCTGTCGGGGCATTGGCGGAGATGACGAAAAGACATCGTTTCTCACGCCAATTTCTTCTCACTTTGATGGAACTTTCTAATCTAACAGCACATAACCGACTGTTAATGAGGATCCAATCGACTAGTGCTGCCTCAGCTCTAGCGCTTAGTGCGACACCAACGCCAGCGAGACCAGACGAAGATGCCACAGGGTCCCCGGATAAGCGCACGTAAAACAAGCTTTTTGAAGTGACAGATGTAGACCGAATTTGTAGTACTTCGCCAGAGTCTTGAATACGGGTCTCGGATAGACAACAAACATCAATATTAAGACTTTCCAAAGACATAGCCAGCCCTATCTGTTGTCCAACCTGCATAAGTGTGCGAACGTTGAAGTCAGCCAGTTTGAATGGTGCACGTGGTTTCAGAAAAACTGCTTCAGTCCTCGTATTCGGTGGTAACATACAATTTTCAACCGGACAGTGACTCGAGAACGTTTAGATACAGTCGAATTTCCACTAAAGACGAGCCGCTGTATAAGTATAAAAGAGGGTGAATAATGTGGAAAATAATAATAGTAATAATAATAATAATAATAATAATAATAATAATAATAATAATAATAATAATAATAATAATGACAATAATTGTAATGATAAGAATTTGAATCAATTGATTGTTTTTCGAAGCGAGAAAAGTAATTTCCATAGACATGGAGAGTTCATCATTTGTGTGTGGGCTGTGATACTGCCCGGGTGCCCAAACCGAAACGGGTGGTCTCTTAGGGGCCACTCCCCGAGCCTTTGACCTAAAGGTCTAACCCACAAGGCAGTGGAGCATCGTGAGGAGATGCAGTCCCATGGTAGCCGGTGACCAACGATTGGTTCATACGCCATTTGTTCCCGCAGGATACTGGAGCCCATGTGTACCATTAATTTGTGATCCGGTTAAAGCGCCGGACATTCGCTTTTCGTCCTCTCATTTTCGTAAACAACAGTAATGCCACGAGAAGGCAATGAGTAGGACTTCCCTGGCAGGGGCTGTATACGCGTGGCCGTGTGAGAGTATTTCGAGAGGGAGAGCGGACTCTCCCCACTCTCGGCCATACCAGGGCATTAGGGGGCAGGAGTTATGAAATATAGAAATATGAATAGTGCAATTCAGACGGATTTACAACTGACCGAGTTTCCAAGTATTATGAATGATGAGTATCTAGTGGAGTTTAAATAGCTTGTTAATGATTATTTTATCGATACATATTCATCTGTTTATTGATAATAATATCTCTAGTGTTGTTTTCTTCAACTATATGGCCCACTAAAATTTATGACCGATTAGAAATCACATCAATAAGTACAACACCCTGATTTTGTTGATCTTCATTATGAACATCAATGTGATCAGCAAGAAAATGACAACACTTCACTCTTTATAAATGTTTCCCTAAATGAGATAATACATTCCTTAAATGATTGTATTGAGAAATATAACCTTAATATTTGTATTCCAAAACATTATCTAAAAGAACTACTTCTACGTCGTACTTTCAAAGTAAAACCCAGATTCAATAATGATTTCTACAGGTAAAGTAATGGTGAGACAGATTTATTATTGGACGTCAAGCTAACTGACTGTTTCATGGTCAGTTTCGAGAATACGAAGCTTCAACCAACAATTGATAACTTCCACTTATACAACAGATATACGAATGATACATTCATCATGTGTGATAATAATTTGAATCTCAGTGTCATTCTGGATGAATCAAATAGGTGACATCATTCGATTAAGTTTAGGTAGGAAGCAGCCCCCAAATACCCTGGTATGGTCGAGAGTGGGGTAGGCCCGCCCTCCCTCTCCAAATGCTCTCACACGGCCACGCGTATACAGCCCCTGCCAGGGAAGTCCTACTCACTGCATTTTCGTGGCGGGGTGTTGTTTACGAAAATGAGAGGACGAAAAGCGAATGTCCGGCGCTTTAACCGGATCACAAATTAATGGTACATATGGGCTCCAGTATCCTGCGGGAACAAATGGCGTATGAACCACTCGCTGGTCACCGGCTACCATGGGATTGCATGTCCTTACGATGCTCCACTGCCTTGTGGGTTAGACCTTTAGATTAAAGGCTCGGGGTGTGGTCCCCTAAGAAACCACCCGTTTCGGTCTGGGCACTCGGGCAGTATCACAGCCCACACACACACACAAAAAATATGGTGTGGCGCATATATATTTGGTGTCCTCTTGTACCAATATTTATGTGTTGAAATAAATAAATAAATAAAGTAGGAAGCAAAAGGTGAATACAGAATTTCATTTCCTATTCCAAAGGAACCAAAATGGTTGTTTATAAAGATTAATATACATGAAACCAACTTGGAATAGTTAGTATACAAATTTCCACAACTGTATTCTATTGAACAGGAAGAGAAACTTAATCTTTTTTTATCCACAAGAAATAAATGAATGTGTATCTATAAGATAGTCAGTTACAAGCTATTTAAACTCCACTAGATACTCATCATTCATAATACTTGGAACTTCTGGACAAACTGTTATTCAATCATTTTATTTTCAGAAGACCACTTTATAAGTTCAATCACAATGAATATGATTGTACTTCTTTTAATAAATGGTTTAGTTGAAAAGCAAACTTTCTTCATGGTGCTATCTTTATTTTTCCTTTAAGGATACAATTGTTTCCTTTTATTCTGTTTAAAAGATAGTTGTTCCACATATGAATGATGAAAGAAATTTTGTTTGACGTATATTTGCAATCAATTCGATTTTCTCGGTAGAATTAAGTTTCTACTTGATAGTATAGGTTGAATTTCCGATGGTTCATTAGAAGATGAGGTGTTTTTTGCAAATGAGCGTTTCCTTAGACTGATTGACGCGGTATATGGAAGTGTCTGGGATAACATAAATTTCAATAGTTGAGATCATGAGTCAATTGAATCTAGACTAACATAGAATGCCTGGAAGAATTGGACGGTCGTTTCGTCCCATTCTGGAACTCCTCAGCAATGAGCATCCACCATCCCGCCTCAGGAGATTCGAACCCAAGATTTATAAGTCTCGCACACCAACGCTTCACCTATAAACCACTGAACCGGCCGGCATCCAACAGTGTTAATGTCTAACTTCAAGTAATCCACGAAATTGAGCGATACATCCACCATTGTTATCAGTGAGATGATATCTCACAACAAACCCAATTGAACTCTATTGGTCACTGCTTCTCACTAGAACTCCAGGATATACATCTTGAGGCCGGTGACTATCTTCAATTGACTTATGATCTGAACTATTGAAATTACTACAATCTCTACAAAATCCTTTCTGATAACAAATTATGGAATTTATAAATTTCATACCCAGTACTCTTTATGAAGGGTTTAACAATCAAGTATAAAGTGTCAAGTGGTTAGTATTGGCCAAATTAAAACGTGGCATTAGTCCTTGAAGTCACTAACTTCTAGTCTTAGCCATGTTGGTAGATGCACACTACTTGGTTGGGTCCGCATCACTATCGTAATCAATGTTTAGAAACTCTGGGTGACATGGCTCAGAATCGGTCACAATGGCGTATCTGTATACACTCTTTGTCTTCCCTTACACTATGAGATTAAAATCACTTCATATATTCTTTCTACCAACTAATTCTTTCTTTCTGTACTATATCCTTATATGTAATCTTTCTTTTATATATTACTACCATTGAATTAACTACTTTTATGAATTTGGTGTTCATGTTGTTATGCGAATGAGATATGGCAGCTTGGACCGATGCACCTATACGCCTGGTGCTACATTGTAACTGACTGACAAGTGATTTCTACAAACTTGAATTGGCATTTCATTTCTATATTCCATAAGGTTCTCATTTAAAGGATGAAATTGTTCCCTTAAGTTATTCTTCCTTTTCTTTTTTCTTCTTCTTCTTCTTCTTCAGATAATGACACTATTAGAAAATGTCAATAATGAATATTTCATTGAAACAAATAAACAAAATCATGTTCATCCTACTGATAATAATAATAATAATAATCAATTCATAAAAGATTATCAATTTAACCTTAATGATTATTCTTCATTAATTGATTATCATAATGATGTTCTACAATTAGCTAGTTATTATGAACAAATATTGAAAAGATATGGGAAAATAGAACTGGAAGCATTAGCCTATAGAATATCAGCTGGTATGTAAACATTTTCTTATTGAATGAAAGAAATAATCAATGATGTTGACATTTCAAGTATTTCATCTCAGGGTATTATCAAATCATTATTGAAGTGAACAATGATAAGGTTAGATGCTGGGGTTTTATGTGAAAAATTGTAATATCTACTGTTGTAACTGTAACTCTTATTTAACTCAAATGGTTAGGATGGGTATTACACATTCTCACTTACCACATAACCAAACGTATGATACTGACTGGCATTGAAATTTATTTTATCTATTTAAACACATAAAAACTGGTACAAGGAAGCAACAAATAGATATATGCCACATAAACCAATCCATTTGTGTGAGAGCTAGGATACTGCCCGGGTGCTCAAACCGAAGCAGGTGGTTTACTTAGGGGGGACACACCAACAGCCTTCGACCTAAAAGTCTAGTCCATAAGGCAGTGGAGCAACATAAGGAGATGAAGTATCATGGTAGCCAGTGATCAATAATTGGTCCATACGCCACTTGGTTCTTCAGAATTCTGTAGCTCATGTACACCATTGGTTTGAAATCACGGTTTTCCAACTTCTTTAGGTGAACCTTTCATGTCCACCAATCAGGTTAAAGCGCCGGACATTCGCTTTTCATCCTCTCAATTTCGTAAACAACAGTAATTCTGCGAGAATGCAGTGAGTAGGACTTCCCTGACAGTGGTTGTATGCACGTTACCATGTGAGAGCATTTGGAGAAAGAGAGAGTTGACTCGTCTCACTCTCGGCCGTACCAATGCATTTGGGGGCATTGAATTAAACACTGGAAATGTTTAGAGCTACAAAAAAATATAAAGTCAATTAAAGATTGTCTAGGTAGATGCTAGAATCAAATTCTTCAATAAAATACTGAAACTATTTATCCTAAACTCTGGGACTTTCACAAATATAATTTCATTTTTTCAATATCTTTCATTTACTTTGTGACCATTATTTATGAATCTGTTTATGCACAAATTCACTTGGTGTTGTTGTTTTTTTTACTTGTATCTTCCCATTGTTATTTAGAACTGCAATTGATCAGTCTCTTGTTGGCATATGTGCAACCTGTGCGGATTGCTTTCATATAACCTCCCACTGCTAGCCATTATCTATTTTTGTTTATGTATATTTTGTCAAAAGTTCACATAACCAATAGAGCCACAAATTATTTATGGTCAAAAAGAAATAGAGTGAAACATGTCAAAAATCTTGAAGTGAACCCGCACAAAATATGAAAATTGCTTTTGGCAATAGTAAAAATGAATGTTTATAAGACTTATAGATTTTGACAATGGTTTATTCGTTAAACCGTTAGGTTCTCAACTATTAAGACGCGAGTGCGAATCCTGTTCCACTTGATACCGCTTGAACATTAAGAAAGCATAACCATTCATTCGATAGTGTACTAACATTTGTGGAAGGTGAAGAAGTTCAGCCCCCATATTACATGTCATTATCAAATGAGATTTTGTAGAATGGCCCTAATTGTTGATTCTCAAATGTCATTTTGTTATTTCAAATGCAAACCCGATTACTCTAATCTGTAAAAGAGTGTACATCCATTGTCTGTAGACGGTGGAAGTTATTCGTAGCATTGAGCACAAACCTATTATTGGTTAACGGTTATCGCTTCAATCAATACCTGACTTGTTCGGTGTTCTGGTATTCTCTCGAATGTTTGACTGTCATATCTAACAACGGCTATCGAATAGTTCATATTTATTTTTTGATATATTTGATTAGACATGATTCTCCTTTCGTTAATTTTTCAGCTCAGACTCACTGATTGAACGATATCATGGTTGCTATAAAACTTGACAATCTTAGGTTTAATTCCTTGTAGAGTTGTGGGTTCATGTAACTGAACAGCAATAAACAACGATGAACTAAACATCAAACCCTCCCTAGCCTCTTAAGAGAATCAGAGCTTAGTGGTTGCAGCTCTTAATGGTCAAGTCTTATGTTTAAAATGGTCTTCGCTTAGTTCCACTCATCAGAGAAGTAATATTGTTAATCCCCACAGAAAGTTATGACTTATACTAGAGTACCCCAATCTGAACTTTATTACTCAGTTATTTGAATAAGCTAGAATTAAACCATAACAGTGATAGTCATGTTGCGATCAAATTCCTTTGATTTACCTTCAGTACTCCTAATTGAGCATAGAATTTTTTTCGAAACTAGTGAATAATTCTAGGATTATCTTTTATTATTATTTTTTAGCATGTCATTCATGTGAAAGCCCAAACAAGTTGAATTCAATCAATTTCAATAGTCCTACAAAATTTCGTTCAAAAAATGATATCTCTTATGATTGTCCATACAATACTGAAACATTCGTAGCTTCATTTCATCCACCTATAACTTATCATTTGGAGGTGCAGTTAACTAGTTCCAAATCAATTTACTTCAATCAATTACCAAGTCAACCAATTAATTGCCTACCAAATGTTAATCATCATTTAAATTCGTCATTTATGAATAGATTATCATGTAAAGTATTTGTAGGTGGTGTGCCAATGCGTGGAAACCAAGTGACTACATGGACAAGAGATCAGTTACATAAGGGATTATCTATTTTCGGCCCACTTAGTTTAATATGGCCGAAAGGTACCATTATGATACCATCTGTCATAGACGGAAATAATTATAACCAAGCATTATGTGAATCATTATTGAGAACCGGTTTGAAACGAGGTAATTCATACGTAGTATCTGATTTAAAGTTATTTAATAGTTGAATTCATGTGTCGATTAACGCTAGACCATCATGGAAAACCTAGAAGCAATGTAAGGCCGTTTCGTCTTGGTATTCGACCCCTCAGGAGTGTGCATCCACGATCCCGCTCACGGGATTCGGGCCCAAGAATTTTGGTCTTGCTTGGGAACACTTAACCACATGACCACTGAGCCGGCATCCAACGCTGTTAATGTCTGGCTTCAACCAATCTACGAAATTGCTCCACCGTCCACTATTGTCTTCAGTGAGTTACTATCTTACAACAGATCCGGTTGAACTCCACTGGTCACAGCTTCTCACTAGAACTCCAGGGAATATCTCTTGGAAACCGTCCTGGGTTCGAATCTCGCGAGGCGGGATCGTGGATGTGCACTGATGAGGGGTCTTATACTAAAACGAAATGGCCTTACAATGCTCCCAGATTTTCCATGGTAGTCTAGCTTCAATTGACTCATGAATTCAACTATTAAATTACTATAATATCCGCAAGACCCCTCTCTAATTAACGTTATTTGTAAATTAGGTCAGGTAATGAAGTACGTTTAATGTGAAATAGTGTAACCATTAGCTTGGCTTCATATCTGTTTCACAAATAAAAATTAAATATTCTAGGGCAATTGATGAAAATTACAAACAAAATTACAGTTTGTCGTGGATTCATAGAGAAAGACACATCTGATTTCCGACAGGAACTAATATTACTCGGAGTACTTCACATTTAGGACATTTGAAAGTATTGTAATTATCGATGCTGTTATCGAATATTTCATAAAACACTAAGTGATTTTGACTGATTTTCATTCATAAAGTGGCATCAGTCACAGTAATTGTTACAGCAGAAAATTTGGATATTTTTGATCATTTATTCTAACTTATTGAAATGTAATTCATCTATCCAATGCAAAATTCCATTACTCCACTTGATGATACATTGTTTATATGTCATTCAAAACTTCCCCCTCTTTAATGTTCACATCCTGATATAGATAAGATAACATGTATCACCGGCTATAATTCTGGAAGGCCCTATTATGAATATTTACTGTATCTGAAAAACTCGTAACCAAATGTTTAGTGTCTTCTAGGAAATTTGTTAATAAAAACTTCTGTTATTACATTCATTCATGATATCATCGATTTTAGGATTCGATTTTTGAATAAGTGGAAACAATGTATTTTTATTCCAGTCCTGTCACTTAGTTTTAACATTCGAAAGTAATAAAGAAAATTACAGAACTCCAAACTAGATTTTCAGTATATTCCTAAAATTAATCTCCTCGTACATCTTTTACCCCTCGTGGTGAAGTATAGGCTGCTCATTATCACTCTTCATCCAACTCTGTCCTGGGCAATACTTTCCAGCTCTTTCAGTTCTCATTCATCCTTTTCATATCTGATTCTATTTCCCGACTTAATGTGTTCTTTGGCCTTCCTCTTTCCCGCTTCCCTTCACGATTCCGAGTTAGGGTTTGCATCGTGATTCAGTTTGGTGATTTGCGTAATGTATGTCCTATCCATTTCCATCGACTTTCCCCAATTTCCTCTCCAGCTGAAAGCTGGTTTATTCTCTCCTACAGAAAGCTGTTCCTGATGGTATCCGGTCAATGGATGTTGAGTATCTTACATAGACAACTATATATAAATACTTGTACCTTCTTGGTGATGGTTGTATTAGTTCTCCAAGTTTCAGCTCCGTATAGTAGAACTGTGTTGATGTTTGTGTTGAAGATTCTGACTTTGATATTGGTTGAAAGTTGGTTTGAGTTCCATATGTTCTTCAATTGTAGGAATACAAGTCTCAGTTACAGCTTAACCCTCAGTAAACTATACACATGTATCATGTATGTATATTATCTATGAATAATTAACAAAAAACCTAATTTCATTCAAATGTCATTTTAATTTAGGTTATTGTTATGCAGTGTTCAATGATCAAAGAAGTGTAACATTGTTATTATCAATGTGTTATCGTCGTACCAAAGGTTTCTATATCAATCTTTCAACATTATATCCTGATTTAGAAAAAACTCGATTCGATTCTTTACAAATTATTCCATGGGATAAACAAGATTCATTTTATCCATTTATCTGTAATCGGTGAGTTTATGTAATTTAACATTATTTGTTATTGTGACTAGTACTTTTTAAATTTATGTGCTTACTTACTTACTCCTGTTACGCCCATTAGAGCATAGGCCGCCCACCAGCATTTACAAACCCACTATGTCCCACTCTTTCTTCCTTTCTAGTTCTATCCAATTGTGGTTCATTCCTCCCATGTCTGTCTCCGTTTCTCGGCGTAATGTGTTCTTTGTTCTTCCTCTTCTCATTTGGCTTTGAGGAATCCATGTGAGGGTTTGACTTGTGACACAGTTCGGTGCCTTACTCAGTGTGTGTCCTATACACTTCCAGAGCTTCTTCCTAATTTCTTCCTCCATCGGAATCTGGTTTGTTCTCTCCCATAGTAGGTTGTTGCTAATAGTGTCTGACCAACGGATCCGAAGAGTTTTGTGTAGACAACTGTTAGTAAACACTTGTATCTTCTGGATGATGGCTTTCGTAGTTCTTCAAGTTTCTGTCCCATACAGTAGAACTGTCTTGACATTTGTATTGAAAATTCTAACCTTGCTGTTGGTTGACAGACAGCTGTTTTGAGTTCCAGATGTTCTTCGGTTGTAGATATGCTACTCTTGTTTTGCTGATCCACGCCTTCACATCTGTATCAGATCCACCGTGTTCATTAATGATGCTGCCCAGATATGTAAAGGTTTTTACATCTTCCAAGTCTTCTTCAAGTGTGATTTGATTGGTACATGTGCATGTTGAGACCTACTGCTGCCTAGGTTTCTGCTCTACTGGTCTTCTTCTCTTGAATTTGTTGTTGCGTGTGCGATAGAAGAGCCAGATCATCTTCAAAGTCTATGTAAATATAAAGAAACTATTTTCCTTACTTACTTACACCTGTTACCCTTCATGGAGGAATATAGGACGCCCACCAGCATTCTCCACTGAACTCTGTCCTGGCCAATCTTTTTCAGTTACTGTTTAACCTCTTGATTTTTGCCTCCGATTCTCGACACATCGCGTTCGTGAATAAAGCTGAAACTTCGAAAACGTAATAAAAATGTGAAATGATATATTTCAGCAATATATTTCAAATAATGTGATCATACATTTACTTGTCAAGAAGTTTATATGTATGCGGTTGTATCAGGTTTACGATCATTCATCACAATGTGACATATAGTATTCTTTACTAACCAAAATGTATGTCTCATATCCTTATTGAACTTAAACTCGATTTCAGTGGCTTTTAGCCAACATGGCCTTTGTATTGATATGAAATAAACAAATTTTAGCTAATTGCTACACTAATGTTTATGTGTTATTCATCAACTTTAGTTACTAGTCTTATTCTATTTTATAACTGTACTTAAAAGCTTTCTTAAGCTTGACTCATATGAAACTTGTTTATATCAACTTGGTAATTGATTTAAATATCATCTTTGACTTGGCACAGAAACAGTGAAAACATAAATTTTCAATCTGAAGAAGGAAGAACGGAAATTAAAACCCGAACAAAAGTTTACTCCATATTCGTTGGCGCACTTCATGGAATGATTACAGCACGAGCTTTATTTACTATTTTCAATGACCTCTTTGGTAATGTTAGTTACGCTGCGTTGGATACAGATAAATATCACTATCCGATAGGTAAGTTATCAATTTATGAATATGTTACTAATACACTTTGTAAGTAGCTTAAATGTTTAATACATTTCAAATCAGTGTTCGTGAGTTCTGGCTTTGAAAGAAGCGATAATTCTGAATTTTCCTAATTTAAAGCTCCCAGTGGACTTATTTATGGCCGTCCGATATTTTATTATGTCACAATTGTTTCTAATTAATTATGTGCCGTTTACATCGCTCTCTGTCAATTATGGCATGATTGTTGTTGTCCTGTACGGGTTGATAAATTTTCTATCTAGGCAAATGAGTGTGTTGAGGTGTTCGTTAGATACGTTGTGTTGTCTCAGTTCGGAGATAGAAATGCAATAATAAAAGAGGCTTGGCTGCCGACTTTACCCTGAATTTCAGGCCAGTGATAGAGAAAGATTTGTGGTTAATTGTATCGGGCAAAACGCATCGTTCCTAAAGGTTAATGACTTTAGGCTTCAGCTAAAATAGCAGACAGGGTAAAAATAGTTATAATTCGAAACTCCGACTGGCAAATTAAGCATATGAAATCGATTAACATCTCAACACCTAATACCCACCTAGTCACAACTCCTTACTTAATGAAGCTCTTTCCTTTATGGTTTTACTTTTTCATGCCTATATAGGATCAGGACGTGTAGCTTTTAATTCACCACAAGGTTATTTGGATGCTATAACAACAAATTTTATTTGTATTGAATGTCAGTTGTTCAGTAAGGTGGTAAGTTTTTACTATAGTTTTCTTTTATTGTATACCCTGTATATATTCATCTATTTGTTTGTAGTGTAAATGTATCTACACAAAATAGTTTTTAGTGAAACAGTTTAGATAAACTCTGTTTTCAGAAGTCTGACAGATATATGTAATTACTCATGCTACGCATAATATCGGCACAAATTGAGCGGTAAATAAGGCGAAATAATAGCTGTATCAGGGACGTAGAAATCATTTGTGAAAACACGGAAAGCTTGAAAAATATATATACAATCTGAAACATGTACAACTCGTGGAGGGTAGAGTTTGTGTGATAGTAGTTGAATTAACCTCTCTCTCTCTCTCCCTCCTTGTTATACACACTTGGAATTCAATCAGCTTATGGTCATCTGATTTACTTAGTTAAACACATAAACATTGATACAAGGAGGCACCAAATAGATATGCGCCACATAAATCATTCGATTTGTGTGGGGGCTGGGATACTGCCCATGTGCCCAAACTGAAGTGGGTGGTTCCCTCAGAAGGCAACACCTCGAGCGTTCGATCTAGAGGTTTAATCCATAAGGTAGTGGAGCAACGTAGGGAAATGTAGTCCCATGGTAGCCGGTGACCAACTATTGGTTCATACGCCATTTGTTCACTCAGGATCCTGGAGCCCATGTACACTATTGGTTTGGAATCACGGTTTTCCAACTCCCCTAGGCGTACTCCCCGTGTCCACAAAACCCGATTAAAGCGCCGGACATTCGCTTTTTGTCCTCTTGGTTTCGTAGTTAACAGGTCCACCATGAGAAGGTAGTGAATAGGACTTCCCTGGCAGTGGTCGTATTCTTGTGGCCATATGAGAACATTTCGAGATAGAGAGTTGACTATCCCCACTGTCAACCGTACCAGGGCATTTGTGTGATCATCTTCCAAACGTAATGATAAATGACTTTTTGTCTATACCACAAAGCACTTACCATATATTCTTTATATACGACATATATCTTTCTGTTTACTCTTCCTACCCCTTTTTTTAGATACAAATTGATCCATATTTAGAAGATGCTATCTGTTCCAAATGTTACTCAGCACCTGGAATTTATTTTTGTCGTCATTTAAAATGTTTCGATTATTTCTGTCCTAAATGTTGGATTAATTATCATGGTTCATCAAATATAACACATAAACCATTAAGACGTACATTAAGTCCTAATTCATTAAAATTTCCTAAACATTTTTAATTATTTTAATAGTTAATACATAAACAACAACAAAGTTTACTATTACTATTACTCTTTTAACCTAAACATACCTCCCCCCTCCCGTAAAAAAGTATCCCTTTCTTTTTTTTATTTATATTCTTATACTCAATAGAAACGAATTGTCTATTCATATCAAATCTTTTAAGTTTCTTATAGAAATACAGAAATTCAGTCTAGAAACCCATTGTATAGTTTTTTTGGTGTTGTTGTTGTTGTTGTTGTTGACAATGAAAGTGCAAAAACAAACACCATGACGTTTATTTACTTGTTTTTTCAACTTGATATTTTTTACTGTAATTTTAGTCTTACAGTTTACATAATTTTCTTTCTTAAATTAATAGTTAAAACATTTTCTTTTAAAAAAAATTACTTTAACATTTTAGTTACCAAGTCATAATGAAATGTGATAAATATATGTATAAATCGATTTATTGATTTTAGAATAATTGATTCGCTTGTTTTATGGGTTGAATAATGGGATTTAATAATCTAGGATCTGACTTCAGTTATATCGTATGTTTGATTGTTGTCGAACTATGCAACAATTTGGATGACTCTTCCGGTCTCCCACATTGTACGAGCATTCTATGTATTTAAATTAATAGTTGCTCTAGTTGTTAGAAGCGGCATCAGACTTGTGAATTCCGAAGGAATTCGACTTTCATCATGAGGCATCATAACACTTCTAAATGAAGAACTTCTAACTCCCAGAGCAGATTTTAAATGATTAGAATAATTTTTTCTGGTCAGCGATTTAAGCGAGTTAGATTTCTACGAGACCATGACCAACCCTCCTCCTTTATCACTTACAACGTAGGACCAGGCATATAGGTGCATTAGTCCAAGTTACCACACCTTATTAGCACAACAACATGAACACCGGATTCATATAAATAGTTAATTCAATCGCAGCAATATATAAACGAAAGATTGCGTATAGGGACATAGTATAGGAAGAAAGAATTAGTTGGTAGAAAGAAAGATGTAAAGCAATTTTAATCTCACGGTTTGAGGGAAGATAGAGAGTGTATACACCGACGCCATTGTGATCAGTTCTGAGCCAAGTCACACAGTCTCCATCCATTGGTTACGATAGTCACATGGACCCCAACCAAGTAGTCCGCATCTGCCAACATGGCTAAAAGTAGAAGTTAGTGGCTTCAAGTACTGATGCTACATTTTGGTTTGATCACCCCTAGCTTCCTTCCAATCATCTCCAACACTAGTCAGGATTGTGCGTTGTGATAATCAGTGTTAAGGCATAGGTAACACGTGGCACAACCATCTGAGTCGATATAAATTCACAACCTCATCAACTTATTTACCATCATTCCATAATACCCTGCGTCATTCGTTCATTCTATTTCTTTGAACTCACATCAACTACTTACAACCTGTAATATTCGCATGCCTGTGGTATGAATGATGTACCGACTGTACTCTCTTCAAAAATACAGAAACTGTACATCAAATGTAAAATGACATTTATTTAATAAATGAGTAATAATGTTAAATCAAGTAGCAATACATTGGTATTAAAAAACGTTTTTACCTGTCTCTTACTTCCCAGCCTATATACATTCATTGTCTAGGATATCAAGGTTTTCGATGACCAAATACTTTTATAGTGAATTTTCCTTCATAATAAATTGAAGTGCGAAAATGTTTTACGTCAATCGATGACGCTTCAACACTGCATTTGTCGCCTCCCTGAAATTGGTGTTGTTTTTTACAAAAGTAAGCGGTCGTCTGAAGTCCACTTAAAAATTTTCGCTTGCTCGGTAATAACTCATTTTGTATACACATCTCAAACTTTGATCATTGACCGATAAGCTAGAACGCACATTCACCAAATGTGAACATTTTTCTACTTACCCGTTCACCTTTTTAGTTAACATCACACACAAGAACAAATGAATGTTTTATCCAGATTACAGCCTACTTAATCCTATTCACAGTTGGAGATTACACAAAACGTAACATAAAATTTTCATGACATTCCCAACTACACGTAATCAGCATAAAACATGATGCGATTTCAAATGAATTTATATTAATACAGAAGCTATCATTGGTGAATCTTGTGTGACAATTCAGAGCAGATTTCAGTTATTAGTTGAACGCTTGAAGAATGATAGAAATGGAGAGGGTAATTCTGGAGTCACATGGAGAATGAATGTGATAGAACTAATTGCATTAGGTTCTCATCCAACGTCACAATTTGAAAGGAAAATAAAATGTTGTTGTTGGTTTGGTATATTCTATCAAAATCAACTGGATTCAGGAAAAGAGTAGTGAAGCTGATTTGATCTGTATTAGCGAAGAAAAATTACTGAAGACCATTATCTCTATGTATCCGATACTCTCGAAATCCACCAAGGGATGTAATGTGACGTTGCAGCTCACTGTTATCTCCCACATTTGATTAACGTGGATAATAGCATTACTGTCCCGGAAGGTAGGCCTGTAAAAATACCTTGTGTCGCATATTGAAGACATCCTATCGATTTAGATGCATCAGTAAACACTTCAGGAAACAATATTATAGGACTGATCAACTTACACCCATCAATTATGATTGACAGTGCTAGGTAAATTACCAAAGTTCGAAGTTTGGAGAGAATGTGAATATTAAAAGAATTATTCCATTTTATGTCGATCTTCAAAAAATAGCGTAGGGAACGTGAAATGTCACTGAGCCCTAGCCAAACAATCCGACAGTCGGGTCATTGAATGTCGAACAGTTCACCGAAACTCGTCGAGGACAACAAACACGTAACAGTTAATTGCACACGATTGACTGGACCATGAAGCAATGGTCTTACTCTGTTCTTTGTACCTACTCTTACTAAAATATTTCTGTATTAACTTCCTTTGCGTTGTACAGTTATCAAAGCAGCCAGGTTGTAAACAGCTGATGTAAACCTAATGAAATCAAATGAATGAATGTCCGACTTGCTAATGGATTACAGAAGTCAGTCAAAAGTTCAATCTTGCATCATTTAGTTAATTCTGACCACTCTACTTCACTAGAAGCCTTTTCCCAAAATATACATATAGTCCGAACAGTCTGCTCAAGAGGAATCCATATGGAAAACTTATATATAGCAGAAGCTATTGCTGTTCACCAGTTCAGGCCTAACCTTTGAGTATAAAAGACAGTGTGTTCAGTCCATCATTTTTGCATGGCCTTAACCTTCATTTCTATCTTCTATAATCTATCTTTTTTTAATTATTATTTCTAATTATTTTCACGTCTATTGATTAGTAGTTAGTAAAACTCTTAATACCTATCAAGTAAACAATTATGTTCACCTAAGCTTTTTTCACTGGACAATTATTACATAACTCCTTTTCAATATCTGATTGTCGTAAATAATTCATGACAAGATATCACTTCAAGCTATCTTAATTATTCAATCTCATTTTATTTTGCTACATACTACTACTTTAATGAATAAAGTTAACTATAAATACAGTTGTACAGTTCAAGTAAATGGAATCATTGAAAAGGAAACTTTCTTCGCTGAATTGCCTTCATTCGTTCATTATATTATTCTGCCTAAATCAGCGTTCTTGCCCTTCATGATGTCTTCCCTTTCTGATAATAATCATTATCTGCTCACTAGTGACTAGCTTTAAACGGTATTTCGTGGAGTTCTAGTGAGAAGCTGTGACCAGTGGAGTTCAACCGGGTCTGTTGTGAAATAGTAATTCACTGAAGACAATGGTGGGCGGTGACGCAATTTCGTGGATTGATTGAAGTTAGACATTAACACTGTTGGATGCTAGATCAGTGGTCTTGTGTTCAAGCGTTCGCATGCAAAACCGAAGGTCTTAAGTTCAAATCTCGCTAGCGCGGTCCTGGATATACACTGTTGTGAAGTCCCATATTATGACAACACGGCCTTACAGTGCTTCCGGGTTATCTATGGTAATCTAGCTTTAATCGACTCATGAATTCAACTATTAAATATCCTTTTGACTATATAAAAATCTGTTTTAAGACTTTTGATAGTAATGGCTTTGAAAAAAAATGCGATATTTTTGAATTTGTTTGCTTATTTATAATTTAAAATGATTTTGAACGTCACTCTGGAGTCCACGTAACTTTACTAACAGTTTTTCGGTAGTATATCGCCATCTGTTTATGTAATTTTCTTCTAGGATATTTACGTTATTTAACATCGAAATATTCAATCATGTGAAGATCAATTTTCATTGATGAGAACGTTTCTGACATTACGATTTAAAGTGTGTACATAGTTTTGTGTTTAAACAAATTATACAATTAATTCTAGGGCGTAAGAAGCTAAATGGAGATTCTATGGAAGGAATGAATTCACCTCTGTTTGACTTAGCACTCAAATGCTCTGGTACGACTGACAATGGGGAGAGTCAGCTCTCCCTCTCGAAATGCTCTCACATGGCCACGCGTATATAGCATCTACCAGAGAAGTTCTAGTCACTGCATTCTCGCAGAATTACTGTTGTTTACGAAATTGAGAGGACGAAAAGCGAATGTCTGGCGCTTTAACCGGGTTGGCGGGTATGCAGAATTCACATTGAGGAGTTTGAAAACCGTGATTCCAAACCAATGGTGTACATGGGCTACAGAATTCTGAAGAACCAAGTGGCGTATGGACCAATTATTGATCACTGGCTACCATGATACTTCATCTCCTTACGTTGCTCCACTGCCTTATGGACTAGACTTTTAGGTCGAAGGCTGTTGGTGTGTCCCCCCTAAGTAAACCACCTGCTTCGGTCTAGGCACCCAGGCAGTATCACAGCCCTCACACATATCAAATGAGATCAGTGTGGCGCATATGTATTTGGTGCCCTCTTTTACTAATATTTATGTGTTCAAATAAATAAATAAACTATTCGACTTAAATAAAATATTGTAGTTTACGAAGTTCAACAATGTTTAATCGAAAGTAGTTTAAAGGTTACTCAATAAAATAAATCAGTAGTATTTCACATATTACTTAAAGAATAAAATCTGTATTAAATAATGAATGTTTCACATTGGTGAAAGCTGACAATTAAACAACCATCCAATGGACAACGTCCGGATAGGTTAATTTATCTTATAATCCAAGTGTTATTATAATCACAATACAAACTACTATTGGTCAAGTCTTTCAACATATAAACTAAATTAATGAAACTTATTCATTAGATAAGAACAATAGAACAATTATTAATCTATCTTGGTGATATCAACTACCTCAGCAACAACAACAATAACAAATGTCAAGACTATTATCGCTTATTCTTCAACCTGTTAGTATTGCATTTATTGTTTTAGGATTTTTAGTAGATCGTTGGGGATGTGGTCGATTACTCGATTCTTGTTTACATTATTATAAAACTGCTACAATCATGTTAATGTTATTCTTAATTATTGGTATGTCATTTTTAATTGTTGCATTTTCACTTGACTTAGCAACAATTATCTCTTCATCATTAGATTTAAATGCAACATACAATTCTATTAAATTAATTTTATTACTTGTTGGTTTAACTGGAATTTTTTCAGGTATTTTAATTTGTGCTATTAAAATAGAACGGGATTATTCTCAATTAATATGTGTTATTGGTATTGTCATAGCTTGTCAAGTTGCTTTACTTAATTTATTTTTATATCCTTGTTTTTTCGAGAAGAAACCTAAAGTAATAGTAGCAGAAGCAGTAGCTAAGTAAATGAATATATATATATATATGTGAATTAATACTCTCTGTTAGTTACTACCCCATCCCCATCCCCCCAACTCTTTTGTATGTTAGATTACATTTTATAAATTGTTTATTCCAGTATTTAAATTTTACTGTTTGAATTTATTTCCGTAACTATGTTTATCGATTTACTGTTTGTTCCCATGATGATTATTATTATGATTTTTTTAATTTTCAAATGGAAAACAGATCCATAGCATTCTTCAATAATGTTAGTTTAACTTACAATATAAATATTACTATAATTGACTTATTTCTTATTATTGAATTATTTCGAAATGAATTGATATCAATAGAGAAAATATTGAAAATTACCAATATTGTTTTAATATCAGAAGGAGTTTTGTGGATATTATAGTAATTTTGATAGTTGAGAACATGAGTCAATGGTTAGGCGGTCACGAGCGAGATTGATAGGTTCTAGGTTTAAATCTCATGAGGCGGTGGGATTGTGGATGCGCACTGCTGAGGATTCCCACAATAGGACGAAATGGTCGTCTAGTGTTTCCGGTTTTTCCATAGTGGTCTAGCTTCAAATAACTCATGATATCAACTATTAAAAATATTGTTTTAGTTCAGTATTACTCATTAGTTTATGTACTATGATAGTATTTTATCATGGATTGCTTGATGAGTGTAACTCTGCCTGGGGCACCTCAGAAGCTACTGCCGGTCTCAAGCCCGGATGAAGGAAGAGGGTTAGGCATGGGGTTAGCGACCCCATCCAGTAGGAAACTAACTCGCTAGAAAAACGCTAACCAGAAAAGCTTGAAAAGTGTAATATAGATAGTTTGATCCTGGTTTGTCTGTTGAATGAACACGTTTTTGTTGATTAGAACGTATTATATGGATGAATACTTGAATATGGTTTGAAACTGGTTAACAGATATATTCACTCTTAAAATGTTTACTGACGTATACACTGTCCGATTGGTTATATTTGATATAGACCAGGATATTCGATAATGTTTATTTTATATTTACTATTTCATCACCATACATCTCAGTCCTAGGATATGGTGACTATGTAACACTGTCCATCAGATTCAAGCTTATCAAAACTTGACTAGCGATCTTAGTTACTTTCAAATATGACAATCTATGGAAAAAAATAGGAGTGTTACATCATGGAACAATGTTATCAAAGACAATCGCTTGTGTTTTAAGTACTGAGTATAACTTATGTAATAGTCTTGGATGCAATAAGAAACAAAAATCTATAGAAGACAATGCTTACTTTGAGAATATAGAAATGATTTTAAAACAAGAGAATAAATGACATTAACTGTTAGTAAAAGTAAAGACAATTGGGAAATGGTAAAATAAGGGAGCGAATATAAATCTTTTTTACATAGAGGCCAGGTTTCAACTGGTTAGTTGGGATAGCTTTAGCTTTTTTGAACCAGTTGTTTTACTCCATAGATATTTCTCAACAATGATTATCGAGGAGGTATGTGGCTAGAGTTCATCATATGTTTAAGGATTAAGCTGTTGTCTGGCTTACGTTCACCTTTAGGAATCCACACATTAAAGAGCTTTAATACACATATCCACTTTTATTTAGGTTAACCACTATGACAGTCTGCATAACCCTCATTCTTTGATTGTAAAATTTATTAAATGTAATCTTATAATCCCATATAACATTTTGACAAATTCCCCATAGTGGAAAATAAACATTGTCGATACCAACACTTAGATTTGCTTGGTGTCCTGTTTTTCTCTTTGACCTTTAGTTATCCTAAGTAATAGTAAACACTCCATTAACACCTGAAGTGACCAATAAAAACTCAGAGTAGACTCGAGGCTGTTAGTACTTCTTGACACATTATTGGTTTAGCACATGGATAAAATCATTAAAGTTGGTATCCTCATAAGCAATTTTGTCACGTGACATTCGACGGACCACAGAAAATAATATCACTGATAGAAATAACTGAGGAAGATAATTGAGATCCTTGAGTAAATGGTCTCATAACATTTAATTCAGTGTAATATGTTTTAAGAGATTAAAACTGATTAAATAATAAATTATTCTACAATAAAATAACGATCAGTCGAAAATGATTTCTGTCAATTCGGCATCAAGCTATACGTAGATTAACAACGTAAGAATAGAAGGACGTGGTTTTGTGTTCTCACATATAACCAAACCAGCGCATAACTTCGATTGCTTATTGAAAATTAAAATATAAACTGATAGAAATCTGTATTACCAAAAGTTTACATATTGTATCAGCAAGTTGATTAGTAATGAAATCAATTTAGTTACAATAGAGTTAATATTAAAGAGTAAACACTAAAGAATATGAATATCTACTTAATTACACCTGTTTTCCATCATGGAGAAGTATAGGCAGCCCACCAGCATTCTCCATCCAACTCTGTCCTGAGCAATGCTTTCCAATTGTTTTCAGTTCTTATTCATCCTTTTCATATCTGCTTCTATTTCCGGACGTAGTGTGTTCTTTGGCCTACATCTTTTCCATTTCCCTTCAGAATTCCAAGTTAGGGTTTTCCTCGTGTTGCAGTTTGATGATTTCTTCAATGTATGTCCTATCCACTTCCAACAAAGACTATGATTAAAAACGAATAAGAAGAAAATCGGAGAATCAAAAGTATTCAATAATAATAAATTAAAGTAGTATATTTGCATCACTTGATTCATGTTAACCTAAATTTCTGAATATTTGTAATAGTTACAATTGGAACCTTAAATATGTTCACCATTTTTGCTTCTTCGATAATAGCTCGTTTTGTATACACATTTCAAACTTTGATCATTGACCGATAAGCTAGAACGCACATTCACCAAATGTTAACATTTTTCTATTTACCCGTTCACCTTTTTAGTTAACATCACACACAAGAACAAATGAATGTTTTATCCAGATTACAGCCTACTTAATCCTATTCACAGTTGGAGATTACACAAAACGTAACATAAAATTTTCATGACATTCCCAACTACACGTAATCAGCATAAAACATGATGCGATTTCAAATGAATTTATATTAATACAGAAGCTATCATTGGTGAATCTTGTGTGACAATTCAGAGCAGATTTCAGTTATTAGTTGAACGCTTGAAGAATGATAGAAATGGAGAGGGTAATTCTGGAGTCACATGGAGAATGAATGTGATAGAACTAATTGCATTAGGTTCTCATCCAACGTCACAATTTGAAAGGAAAATAAAATGTTGTTGTTGGTTTGGTATATTCTATCAAAATCAACTGGATTCAGGAAAAGAGTAGTGAAGCTGATTTGATCTGTATTAGCGAAGAAAAATTATTGGAGATCATTATCTCCATTGATCTGTTAATCTCATAATCACTTTGATTCATATTAACCTGAATTTCCAACAATCTGTGATGATTACAATTCGAACATTGAATCTGGTCATAAATATTTACTGACGGAGATAAATACAAGTTAATTACCGTTCTTGAAAACACTTTTTGTTTATACATAATTTGTGAAAAATCACAATTTAATTGTCTAGGAAACATGAATTGTGTCGGAGTTTAGTAATATTTTGTGTTAGAAATACTAAACTGTTGAAAAAGGCAACAATATGATGGTAAATTACACAACCATCTTTATTATTCCATTATGTATTTGATTAGGTATACACCGGTCGGATGATAATATTGATTCTACTATTAGAACCATTAGAATGGAATGTTGTAATTAGAAAGAATAACCATTTTACAGACTTTTTTTCAATAAAAAGAGCAATTCAATTCATTAAATACCATAACACAACATAATTAATTAGAAATATCTTCATCTAAAATACTTGGTACTTAGTTATTCTTTCTCTCTCTCTCTCTCTGTCTTGTTGTTACTGAGAGTTGATGAGATTGACGATCGATAAAATCAATTATACTGTAGAAGTCTAAGTATAAACTTTCGGACATATATTTATTTTGAATAGTAACTAGGTAATGACATTTTAGTGAACGTCAACACAAATTGGGAACAAGTGAATGTATTTGAATACAACATAACAGAATCTGTTAGTAAATATTTCATTTGCAAAATATCAGTCGATCGTCTCAGACTTCATTGCTTCTTCGTTTTCACACCAATTATTCTCTGCTCTCATTCTCTTTTCTTTGATCTTCTTAACTTTCTGACTCCAGGTATTTTACTTTCGATTGATGATACATACTACTCATATCTATCGACATCAGTAGCACACACCTAAGTAAGACTAACAAATGGTGAGATAATAATGCTGAAGAAATACATGTACTATAAAGTTGAAAGCTATTTTTTCTCTTAATGAGTCCATAATTCTAACTGAGGATAATTTATTTTAATAAAGATTTACACCATTTAGTAAAATTGTTTAATCGATTGTTTCAATAGTTGAGGTCATGGGTCAATTGAAGCTAGACCACCATGGAAATCCTGCAAGCACCGAACGGCCATTTCGTCCTATTGTGGGACTCCTTAGCCTCGCGAGACTTAAAGTTAGACATTAACACCGTTGGATGCCGGCCAGCTCAGTCGTTTAGTGGTTAAGCGCTCGCGCTCGAGACTGGTAGATCCTGAGTTCGAATCTCGCGAGGCGGGATCGTTGATGCGCACTGCTGAGGAGTCCCACAATAGGAGGAGAAAAACAGCCATCCAGTGATTTCATGTTTTCCATGGTGATCTAGCTTTAATTGACTCGTGATCTCACTTATTGAAATTACTATAATATCCACAAAAATCCCTTCTGATATTAATCGATTATTTTTGTTTTAATTAAATCAGTAATCTTTTAGTTTTATTAATTATAAAAATCAATAAAAAGTTAATTGAAATTTCTCATATATATCGATTTAAACTTTACTTATCTCATTATAAGTAAATATTTATTGGTGAATATTAACTCGAAAGAAATTTTTGTTGCCAACTGAATATAACTCGGAAACATATATTTAGTGTAATGTAATTCAGCGAGGAAAATTTTCTCTTTTTTTGTTGTTGTGGATTTCATTTACTTAAGCTAAAATAATGT